AAGTTCATACAACTCTTCCTAGCATTCAAATCTAGGGCTCCTCAAAACCTAAGTGAAGGAAAGTTACTCCATAGAGAAGAGAGAAAATGCAGAAATGTGATCTAGATCTTCAATCTCCATCTCCACCCTTGATTCCCGAGCTCCAGTGGTGAAGAAATCCTCAAAAATAGCTCCAAGAATGATCCCAAGCTGCTTTCTCTCTCTCTCTCTCTAAGGTTCGTACCTTGGGTGTTTGAGATCCAAACCCAACTATCCCCCTTCAGAATCCGCAAAAACGCATTTATACAGCTCACAGAAGCCAAGTTGCGGCCCCAAGTTACGGCCGTAAGCTTTGGGGTTCAGGCCGCAACTTCTGGAATGTATTCTGCCTCCCGTGGCCCAGAGTTATGGCTAAAATGGCACAGTTACGGTCTGAACTATGAAACACCCTAACCCGGCCGGGTACTACCTTTACTAAAATGCCCTTGAAAAATAAAATACTCAAATCTTAAATTGCATCAGAAAAAAATTTCATAAATAAAATACTGAAAACACACACTTGTAGTTTAAAGCAACGCCCTAACACATGGGCAAACTCAATACTTAAAATCTCAAAATGATCTCCTGTCTATACTCATAATCATGAATGTAAATAACTATGAATCTCTAATGTTGTTGCTACTGAACCTTCACTAAGCATCCTCTGTGACGCTTATACTGCCCTCCTCTAGTTGGCTGCCCTCGAACTCGCTACTCACTAACTGCTCCTCCTCTAGCTCTTCAAACTGGTGAGTGAGATGGGGCCAGTCTACGCGCTTACGTTTAACATCTTAATAATACTTGATCACTTTACATAACTTAGTGGAAGTTGTTTTGTACTTCCACTATTAAAAATCTTATTTCTTAAAACTGTATTCTTAAGCTCAAATCTCCACTTAAATTCTTGACTGACACGGGGATCCCTCACTAGCTAGTCTGGTTGCCCCACTCATATGTATGAGAAGCCATCACGGCTTTCCTTAAACTTAAACTTATCGTGGAAGGCTCTTCTTTCACGATTCTCAAGAGCATATCTGATGCTCATCTTAAAAGTCTTAAGAGCATAACTGCTGCTCAACTTAAAAATCTCAAGAGCATAACTGCTACTCATCTTAAAAGTCTCAAGTGGCAACGGACTGGCGCTAGTGACTAAAACCACTGAAAACTATTTCACCTTCTTGAAGGTGAAGAACTTCTTAAAAGAAACTTGTTTCTTAAACTTAAACTTACTTGTAAGTAAAGCACACAACAACATAAAACTGAAAGCATAACTCACACAAATCATATGACATCATATAAGCATATAAAGACAAGTACGACACATAGCAATCAATCTCAAAAACTGAAAAGACGACTACTTGATTCCTTACTCGAAGAAATCTCTCCTTCAAATTACCTCAAAAAACCTTAGACCTTCCATCCTGACTAGGACGAACTTGAATTAATCTCCAACTTTAATTGGTACTGGTTCTAGACATACAACTCGGACTTAGGAACCCAAAAGCCTAGGTACAGTATAACGTCTTCTCTTCTAGTCATCATGCACTCACAATCCATGGATTTCCATGATGGAACTGCCCGCATGGATGTAATCCACGTGACCCATAAGAAAAAAGAGACCTTTAATTTGCAACTTGTATTTCAAACCTTAACCCTGTAATCATCACCTCCTCGTAAGTCTCTAGCTCCTTCCGGAATGATGTTGCTTCATTAATGTAGGGACTTATTGGTAGAGGTGGTAAACGGTAAGCCGGTAAACGGTTTACCATTTTACCGAACCGGTAACCGGCGATAAACGGTAAACCATTTATCAACGGTATCGGCGGCTGAGCGGGAACTTGGACGACTCGGTTAACCGACACGGTATCGGTAAATACCGACGGTAAGTCGGTAATACCGATACTGAAATCCCCCCCTCCCCTGCACTGCGCTGCATTTTTCTTGGCCCTCCCAAACCCTAAGAAAACTCCTACCGAGTCCCGTCCTCTCCTCTTTTCGTTTTCTTTTCGAGACCGCGCCGCGCAGCCACCTCTCCAGCTCTCCTCTTCTCGTCTTCCTTCGCCTTATCGCCTCTCCTTCTGCTGGCGGCGACGGCGAGGAGCTACTCGCGCGCTTCGCCTGACTCTCGTCTATCCCTTCCCTCACCGACGCGCGATGCGACTGGTTTTTGTGTTTTGGAATTTTATTACTACGGCGGCTAGTTTTTCAATGTTTGGTTGAATTTTGATAACTGGGTGTATGGATTATACAGCAGTATATTTCCAACTATTATGCAATTCACGCACCAGAAATCTCCTAATGCAAGCAACAAACGCGATAAAACAAATCACAAAAAACACACCAGAAATCTTATAATGGAAACAATAAATCTCCTAAAACATACCAGAAATCACATAAAGCAAACAACAAATATTTCTAAAGTACCCCAGAAACATCCTAATACAAACCACAAACACGACAAAGCAAACCACAAAAACAAACCAGAAACGTCCTAATGCAGACCACAAATATATTAAAACAAACCAGAAACCTCACAAAGCAAACCACAGAATTTTCAAAAACACACCAGAAACCTCATAATGCGAACCACAAACACGATAAAGCAAACCAAAAAAACAAACTAGAAACGTCATAATGCAGACCAAAAATCTATTAAAACAAACTAGAAACCCCGCAAAGCAAACCACAAATTTTTGAAAGCAAACCAGAAACTTCATAATTCAAACCACAAACACGATAAAACAAACCACAAAAGGCATACAAAAATATAAGAACCCAAACCATAAATCTCACAATGCACACCACAATATCCGGTGGTATATGACCGGTCAACGAAGTTCATTGACCGTTGACCAAACTCCGACAACCGTCAGTGAGCAGATTCCGGGCCCGATGACTAGATTCCGACGCCGAGCATATTCCGACGCCGGTAAGCATATTCCGGCGACAAAAAGCATATTCCGGTGACCAGCGACCAGTTTCCGGTGGCCGAATTTCGAAGACCAAAATTTTGGGCCGAAAATAAAAAAGGGTTAATACCTTAATTTGGCCTGAATTATACACAAACTTTCTACTTTTGCCCGTGGTTTTGAAAATTTTGGGCGACCGGTGGCCGAATTCCGACGACCAAAATTTTGGCCCGAAAATAAAAAAGGGTTAATACCTTAATTTGGCCCGAATTATACGCAACTTTCTACTTGGGCCCGTGGTTTTGAAAATTGCTCTTCTGGCCTGAACTATGTGCCTTACTTCCTGATTTGGCCCGAAGGCAGGTATGACCGTTAAATTGGCCGGTCAATAGAGTTGACCGTTAGTCAATGGCCAGCTCACTTGGCCACGTCAGCGAGCAGATAATAAAAAAAATAATTTTTGAATTTCTGTATTTTTTCCTTTCTTATAATAATAATAATAAACAGAATTTTTTATTTCCTTTCTTATAAAAATATAGAAATTCAAAAAAATCAATATTTTATTTCCTCCTCGCTGATGTGGCCAAGTATGCTGGCCATTGACTAACGGTCAAACCCGCCTCCAACCAAATAAGAAAGTATGGTACATAGTTCAGGCCAGAAGAGCAATTTCCGAAACTACGGGCCAAAGTAGAAAGTTTGTGTATAGTTCGGGCCAAACTAAAATATTAAGCCTTGAATTTACACACCTACTACGTGGCATTTGTATGTAATTTTTTAATCCATTGAATAGTGTTGTACTAAAGTCAATCTTAGGTGCTAAGGAAGGAATATGAAACAGAGCTAAGGAAAGCAAGCAGTCAACGTAGCAAGCTGGGGCCCCGACCCACAAACCACACTTGCCACTTCCAACAACACCAATTCAAATTTCGCAGAGCACCTTCACAAATTCCACTTCAAACTTGACCACAATAAAAAAGCCCACACACCATCACCATCACCATAACTCCCTCTTTTGTGATACTACTCATTAATTCTACTCAAATCTTAATTATCAAAAGTGATTCAAATTCAATCAAGCTATAATGGTTGTTGGTTTATTTTTCCTTTCCACAATATGTGTCGGACCAAATTTGAAACTCGGATTATAGTTAGGGATGGCAATTCAGTTGAGTTAACCAAATTGAAAGCTATTAGCAATCGAAAACTGAATTAGCCAATTGTTCAAAACCGTTAAGAGCTAGTCGCGGAAAATTGATAAGTGCTTACCGATTTGGTGTTCGGTCAAAATAACCGAAAATCGATAAGCGGTTACTGGTTTTGATTTCGGTCAATATACCAAAAAATAGAAACCGAGCCTTTGATTTTGCTAAGCCTCATTGGATTTTATCAATTTTTTATTTTAAGCGAAAACACTAAAAACTTATAAGATTTTACCCATTAAACAGAACCGATAAGTCTCGAAAACCGGTTGAGTTTCTGTTCAATTTGAACCGCAACACCACCCCCCCCCCCCCCGGATTTTAGTGTTAATGTTATGATTCTCTTATATTCCCCTATGTCAATCCTTTAGATTTTCTGTGAACCGTTTATCAAATTCATCTCAGTAACTTGAAAAAAGACCAAAAAAACTAGCTTAATCACTATGATCCGTGAGGTAGTATGGATAGGTGTGTGTGGTCTTGAGCTCTAAAGTCTATACTCTATACTCATTTCGGGTTGTGGAACAATTGCAGGTAAGAAAATGTTGACTGTGATGGAAATCTCGTGGGTTGCAAGTGAAATCTTGGGTAACATTAATACTTAATAATCATAAATTCAATAATATGTATATAAAGCAAATTGAATTTTTTTATCCAAATTTATTTTGACATTTTCCATAAACTAAATAGTAATATTTGGTAAAAATCTAAGAGAGTTTGGTGTTTAGAACAACCACATGCATCCAGGCTGCTTTCTTAGGAAGAAAAAAAAGAAGAAGCAATAGTCTCCACAAGGGACTTGCAGCAATCAGCCCTGTAATGCTCTCTCCCCACTACTTTACAAAGGCATACCTTTGGCAACAAACTTATTTCAAGCTTTACAAGAAACAAGTGATTGGATCTCAAGTTGCCTTCGCCTGTTAACTCTTGCAATGAAGTCCTCTATCCTTCTATTCAGCTCATCCCCTCCTCCCTTTGCTTCAACTTCTTCAACTGCTGCCTCTATTTTCTCTTCGACTTGCTCCTCCACTTCATCTCCATTCTTGGCATCTTCATTCACCAGTACTTGTTGTTCTTCTTGTTCGCTTGTCTCGCTCTCGATCGATGCTATCTCACCTGAAGTGATAATTTCACTTCCAGTTTGGCTCTCCACAACTTCGTCCTCAACTAACGGAGTTTCATCATCTACAATAACGATCCCTGTTTCACCGTCCAACGACGTAGCTTTGTCAACGACAACAATCTGTCTCTCCGCCTTGCGTGCTACTCCAACAAGCTTTTCTTGACTCGGGGTCGAGGATGATGTGATTGATTTCCTTTGAGCTCTAGCTCTTCGGATGTACTCGTCGTAGAAATCACTCGTTGAAGAAGATCTCCGCGAATTGTTGTAGCCACTGAGCCTTGATTCTCCCACCAAGAACACCACAATGACATTGACCAAGAGAAAAACACACTTGGGACTAGAAAGGCAGGACAAGATGTAGGGGAGGTGGAGGAAAAAGAATTGCTTTGTGGGTGAATACACTAGAAGGGTACAACCCACTATCATCAATGAATTCATAACAAGATTTTGAAGAAATGCACTGTGATCAGCTGCCTTCCTCTTCCTCATGGATTGAACCCTTTTGGCCTTGTTGAATGTCACCATTGTATCCATTGGCTTGATGGGTTTTGATCAATTCCTTGAAGGGAAGAGAAAAACACTTCAGCCAACTTGGTAATTTTGGGATTTAGAATCACACATTGGACGACTGAAAGAGTGGAATTCATGGGAATGGGTATTTATAGAGAATAGGATTGGGGGGAGTGGATTGTGTAGTGGATGGCATTGTGATATTTGTAGTTATTTTCTTTGGGTGGGATTCTAAAGATGGTGACTTTATCTTGATGTGTTGTTGGCTTTTTCTGCGTTACTTTGTTGGGTGCATCTAAGGAAAAGCTAGTGCTTTTGAATGAAAAGTCCAAATGGCAGGTTTAGAGTGGGAGAGATATGTGGTTATAACTTTTTATTTATAGGCTGCTTTTGTATAATATTTTTTTTTTTCCAGGCCCATTCCTACCTTCTCCTCCACATTTTATTGCCTTTCCAAGATTCCTGTTCTTTTTAGGTGTTTGATGGTTTTGAAATTCACCACCATCTCCCAAAACAACATTCCCTAGGGTTTCCACACCAGTTCTCTACTTCCAAAACGATCTACCAATTAGTACGTTAATTTTTTTGAAATCTTGCACTTTATAGACATAATTAATTGAATGCTCTTTTCGTGTTAGCTCTATGATTGATTTCGATCTTAACATATGTTGTATAAGAATTATATAATATTCATGTTTGCATGGTCTCTCATTTCAACTACTTGAGATTTTGAACGAATTAGTACATGGGTATTTGATCGTGATGCTTCTTAACGTATATGGCTAATGAGCCCAGTGATTATCTTGAATTTCATTCCTATATATGATGTTTGTAACATGAATAGAAGCAGCAATTAAGAAAACACAAGAACTCGTTCTTTCTCTATGTAAATGCAAATTTTCTTACAACTGCATCTGCAGAGTTCTTACTACCCCATATTTTTATTTTCATTCCATTATTATTAGGTGAAATCTTGAGAGGGACAAGAAAAGGTGAGCATGGCAGCAAAAAGGAACACATGCAAATCATGGTGGTGTTGAATTTTCCACACTTGACCTTTACCCTGCATGGTAAGTTAAGTAAAAGGAAGTCTCACGTAAACCCTATTCCTCTTGCTTTTTGATTAGCCGGCCAGTTTTGTGTTGTGTAGGCTTTCCTTTCTCCACCTCCCTTTTCTTCTCTCATTTACAACCATTATTTGGTTCCAATGATTGAATATCAAAAGCTTCACGTGTCCCAAAATCTGGGATTAAGTAATCTCACATTCTTCAAATCGTGTATCAAGAGGCAATCCCACAAAAGAAGCAAATCCTAGTAACAAAGCTCCACAGCTGTATGCAGTGGCGGACCCAGAAATTTTTCATAGGGGTGTCCTCTTTTATAAATAATTAAATAAAAATAATTGATAAAAATAAATTGTAAATATGAAAATACCTTACTCGTATAGGTTAAAAAAGTCCATGATATGTTTTCATATTCGGAAATAATTGTAGAATACACTTGGTGTCTATAGTTTTAAAAAAATTGTCTCTATATACACTGCTAGCTAGACAATCATTCACGAACTTATCGCATATTCGATACTATATTATTTCCCACCCTTACTTATACGTGATTGTGCAATCAAAAAGATAAAAAGTAATTAAAGTTACCTCTCAAATTAGCGTTGTCTGCTATGTATAACTGTGTGAGCATGCTACAGTTTCCAATACTTGCTGGAATGCTTCCGGTCAATTGATTTGTGTTAAGCTAAAAAACCTGAAGATTTGTACACACAATCAGTGGCGGACCCAGAAATTTTTCATAGGGGTATCCTCTTTTAAAAATAATTAAATAAAAATAAAAATAATTGATAAAAATAAATTGTAAATATGAAAATACCTTACTCGTATAGGTTAAAAAAGTCCATGATATGTTTTCATATTCGGAAATAATTGTAGAATACACTTCGTGTTTATAGTTTTAAAAAAATTGTCTCTATATACACTGCTAGCTAGACAATCATTCACGAACTTATCGCATATTCGATTTGTAAACTTGTTCTTGATGTAACCCAAAGCTGAAAGACTCTTTCAACACTTGCCGTACAATCATAAAATCAATACAAATTAAGGGTAGTTTGAAATTAGTTTAATTATTAGGTTTTTAAAATAACTAAAGATAGGGAATGCCATTTTACTATTACACATTGTTCAAAATCGAACAACAAATGAGTTTAGCTCAACAGAAATTAAGTTTATTAATAATAATAGTGTTCTAGATTTGAATTATCCAACCTATCACTTATATTCCTATACACAAATGACAGTAGGATAATCATTTTTTTCAAATTTAAGGGGTGTCCCTCACTATCAATTATATTTTTTTGTCCATACGTAAATTACCATCGAGAATTGGATAATCGTTTTCCCAAAACGGACACCCCTAAACCTCCCTGGGTCCGCCCCTGGCTGTATGTGTTCCCTCTTTTCACCTCAATGGCATACAAATTAAATACGAATTCTACCTTCCTAATTAATTGCACCCAACCAAACCAGTTGTTCATTGAAAAGGATAAAGGTTAAAGGGGTTCCAACACAAATCACTTCCATTTGAAAAGCCTTGATAGAGGGCAAGAGGTAATCAAATCAATAAAAAGCACGGCTAGCTTTGATCTTGGGGTAGGTAAAAGACTCGGTTATTATAATATATCAATATTAGGTACAGAGGAGCGAGGTTGCAAATGTGTTACCTTTTATCACAAAGTGAACCATAGCTTAACTCATGAGAAACCTTACACAAATGTGGTTTGGAGTTAATGTAGTATTTATATAGTTAATTAATTGATTAATTTTATGTAATAATTCAATAGTAATTTGACATGTTGCATTTAAAATATCTTTTTTGGTTGTATATTATACACATATGGTATTTAACACGTAATATTTGACAATAATAGAGATGTAAAATAAGTTATTTCCAAATAACACGGTATAGGAGTCATTTCAAACAATTCGTTATGAGTTATTTATGAATAACTCACGGGCCATAACAATCCATCTCAGCAAAGTATTTCCAAAAACAAAACGATTTATTTGGATAAAAATAACTCATGCAAATACTATATTTCCTTCCATGAAGCCTACATATGCTTTCCCTCCAACCTATTCTTCAAATGTTTCATCCCAGTTAAATGAAATGTAATTCTTGTGTATAAAATTTGCATAAAATTCAATGTTGTTGTTGGTGCTTAACCTAGTATTATAAATACTAAAGCTTGTGATGAGTCCAATATCAAATTTTCTTGTTACAAATTCTAATATATACAATGTCGAGCTCCGATCATCCCAACAACTCAAATTGTTTGAAAGGACTCAAAAATCAATCTTATATGGTTTCCTAATTCTTTGCATATGCTTGAGTTAGCTAAACATATTTCACGCATGTTACAATACGGCACAAAGATCGACTCGCTTGAAGTTCATGCACCGAGCTAGGTGACCTCTCTCCTCTAAGACACTAAAAGAAAACCCAATTATTAGAAAGAATAAAAGAAAAAGAAAAGAGTGGATTGTCTTCTATTCTTACCTAAGAAGCATCATGTGTCCACAGAGTTTGAAACTCGAAAGGTATGGAAGTTTAAGTTCATGGATGACCACAAAAGAAAAGCAACGACGTAGGGAGTGTCGGAATAGCTATAGCAGAAAGGAAGATGCTAAAGGCCATCGCTTTCCCAAAGCATCTAAAGCCTACATATAGCACAGCAGCCCTTCTTTTTCATTGGCGTAAGTCGACCCAAAGGTGACCAAGTCGCAGAAACCAACAACTAAGACTTTATATACAAAAGTCGAGTTCCAAATCGAAATATGTTTGTTGTATTGGTATCTATCTAAACACTCGCATAATTGCACATTGGTGTTGATATTTGTCTAAATACTCACATAATTCATAATTGCATATTGCCATACATTTTTGTTGATATCTATCATTTACACAAGTGCAGTCTCATATTTCGTGTCTGTTGGAGGGTCCCAACACATGTTTTACTTCAAGCTCGTGTGAATTTAGAATGGGAAGAATACTTGGATATAGCAGGGCATAAAGTCTCAGCCTAACAGATGTTTTGGAATGAGAGAACTTGGAAAAAGAAACACTATTATTTATCATAAGAAAGTACAGGGAAACAAGAACCAGAGCCAAGCCAACGAATTGGCTCTTTGATAACAAACACACAGACAGCTTCCCAAGAACAGATCACCCAGTTCACAAACACTATGATTGTTCTACTGAAGAAAGAAAAAGAACCCAATTGTAGCAGAAGACACTCTCTTATTCTTCTATTACAAAACTGTAGAGTTCTAATGAATAAGAAACCCTAGAATATATAGCTGAATCAACTAAGTGACCGTTGCAAAAACCTGTTGGGTTCTTGAGAGGAGATTTGAGAGGAACGGGCTTCTTCAGGTCATCATGAGCTCGAAGTAGAGGTGGCTCGGTAGAGTCACCCTATTTTGATGAATCATGAGGAAGTTGTCGAGCAAGGATGGAGTAGGTTTGGAGAAGAAGAGCCTCGATCCAGATTGGAATACTTGGACGGACGAGAGACAAAACGACATAGTTTAGTGCAGCTGATCAGCGCTTTGCTATTTGGTGAGTGCGCAGCACTTTGGCGAATCCGACACCATTTGTTCAACAATTTCCCCCTTCGTCCGAGAAGTCTTACTTGCTAGGGGAAAAATTGCATTGAACCAAACAGAAGTACAACAATGGAGTCTCAACAAACCATGACTCTAGAATAGAGCATGATTGACAAAAGTAGTTTCCCCCTTAACCTAGGACTCCTTAAAGAAAGCTTGTACGAAAGGACAGCAGTACAAAAGATACCCTACTGCAGAAACGGAACATTAACCTACAAAAGATACCATTTTTCAGAAACAAAATAAAAACAA